AATTGGGAAATATTGGGGGAAAATTGGGGAAAAAAAGGGAAAAAATTGGGGGAAAATTGGGGAAAATTGGGGGAATATTGGAAGAAAAATTGGAGAAAGTAGGGGGAGAATGGGAGGAAAAATTGGGAAAAAATGAGAAAAAATTGGAGGAAAAATTGGGAAAAAAAGGGGAAAAATTGGGGGGAATTGGGGAAAAATTGGGGGGAAAATTGGGGGGAAAATTGGGGGAAAAATGGGGAAAAATTGGGGAAAAATTGGGGAAAAAGAGGAGACGTTGGGAGGAGATGGTCAGGGAGAAAAGGGCTGGGAATATTGGGAAAATTGGGGAAAAATTGGGGAAAAATTGGGGGAAAATTGGGGAAAAATTGGGGGGAAATTGGGGGAAAATTGGGGAAAAATTGGGGAAATTTTGGGGAAAATTGGGGGATATTGGGAGGAAATTTGGGGGGAAATTGGGGGAAAGTTGGGGAAAAAAATTGGGAAAAATGGGGGAAAAATTGGGGAAAAATGGAGAAAAAATTGGGAAAAATTGGGGGAAAAATTGGGGAAAAATTGGGAAAAAAATGGGAAAAATTGGGGGAAAATTGGAGGAAAAATTGGGGAAAAAGAAGAAAAATTGGGGGGAAATTGGAGGAAAAATGGGGGAAAAATTGGGAAAAAATTGGGAAAAATTTGGGGAAAATTGGAGGAAAAATTGGGAAAAACTGGGGAAAAAAATTGGGGGAAAAAGGGAAAAAAAGGGAAAAAATTGGGGAATAAATGAGAGAAAAATTGGGAAATATTGGGGGAAAAGGAGGGAAAATTGGGGGGGAAATTGGGGAAAAAGTGAAGAAAAATTTGGGAAAAATTTGGAATAAAAAAGGGAAAAAATTGCAAAAAATTCAGGGAAAATTAGGAAAAAAAGGGGGAATATTGGAGGAAAATTGGGGGGAAAAATGGGAAAAATTGGGAAAAAAAATCTGATTTTTCCCCCAGTTTTTCCATTTTTTTCCACATTTTTTCCTGATTTTACACAATTCCCAGTTTTGAGAAAATCAGGAATTTTTATCTTTGAAATTCTATTAAAAACCCCAAATTTGAATTGATTTTTTTTAAAAAAATTGAATTTAAATATTGAAAATATTTTAAATTTATCTTTTTTTTTTCCCCCTTTTAATTTCTCAGTTCCCAGTGCTGCTCCTCGTAATGTTTCTTTGGAAGTGGTGAATTCTAGGGTGAGTCATTCCCAAAAATCCTTTTTTTTTCCCCAAAAAAATTCCCAAATTTTCCTCTCAAAATTCCAAATAAACCTCGAAAAAAAATCTCAAAAATTTCCAAAAAATTTCCACCCAAAATCCCCAAAAAACATCAAAAAATTCTCCAAAAATTCCAAAAAATTCCCCCCAAAATTCCCCAAAAATTTCCCTCAAAATCCCCAAAAAACCTCAAAAAATTCTCAAAAAATTCCAAAAAATTCCCTCAAAATTCCCCAAAAATTCCCCCCAAAATCCCCAAAAAATCTCAAAAAATTCTCAAAAAATTCCAAAAAATTCCCCCCAAAATTCCCCAAAAATTCCCCCAAAAATCCCCAAAAAATTCTCAAAAAATTCTCCAAAAATTCCAAAAAATTCCCCCAAAATTCCTCAAAAATTCCCCCCAAAATCCAAAAAAAATTCTCAAAAAATTCCAAAAAATTCCCCCCAAAATTCCCCAAAAATTCCAAAAAATTCCAAAAAATTCCCCCCAAAATTCCCCAAAAATTCCCCCCAAAATCCCCACAAAAATTCCAAAAAATTCCAAAAAATTCCCCCCAAAATTCCCCAAAAATTCCCCCCAAAATCCCCAAAAAACTCAAAAAATTCTCAAAAAATTCCAAAAAATTCTCCAAAAATTCCAAAAAATTCCCCCCAAAATTCCCCAAAAATTCCCCCCAAAATCCCCAAAAAACCTCAAAAAATTCTCAAAAAATTCCCAAAAATTCCCCAAAAATTATCAAAAAATACCAATTTTTTATCAAAAAGTTCCCTAAAAAATCCCTAAAAAATTCCCAAAAAACCCCTAAAAAATTTATAAAAATCCCCAAAATTTCCCATCAAATTTCCCATAAAATTCCAAAAAATTCCCCAAAAATTATCAAAAAATGCCAATTTTTTATCAAAAAATTCCCTAAAAATTCCCTAAAAAATTCCCAAAAAAACCCCAAAAAATTTATAAAAACCCCCAAAATTTCCCATAAAATTTCCCATAAAATTCCCAAAAAAATTCTCAAAAAATTATCAAAAACTCCCAAATTTTTATCCAAAAATTCCCT